CGGAAAAACAATTAGTTGGAGTGCAGAATCTGCATAGAATAACGGAACACATCAATCTGGGCATCTAGCTAGCTTCTGCCATCAGGGTTGCTTGCTAATTGCAACGATATTCATAATTGAAGATTCAGTGAGAACTACCAAGGGATAAAAAAAAGAAAGTTGAATCTGTGCACTCAATGTGTGCATGGCCTATAATGTCCTCACATATGAGTAATTCATCAAAGAAGCCCTAAAAAACCTTCAAACAAAAAACACAAATGTAAGGCAAGCTTACCTGAATGGGGATGGCCCATGACCTGGATCTCCTAGTCCGCGCGCTGGTGATCTGCTGCTACTTGAACAGCAACTCTGCCTGCTGACGCTGCCCAAACTGTGCAAGTTTCTTCATAGTTTCCTTGCAATTGTTAAGATCAAAATCAGCAACTTTTGCAACTAATGCAGAGTGTGAGTTTCTCTGCAGACAAAAAAGGCTTTGCAGATTCAGTATAATTGACACAAACAAAATGCATTACCTGCTTTCCTCAAGAACCCATGACTGAAAGATGTGGAGAGAAAATTGCAAAGTATGAGCATTAGTACTTAGGTATCACAGAGATTCAACGGAATTTCAACAAAACTAGGGCTTGCTTTTCACACCATTAAACGTTCACGTATTTCATATTTGATCCACCTTTCAGCTGGGCAAAACAACAAACAAATGGGGGCACAATATCTATTTATTCTCAGAAAAGAAATTACCAAATATCTGGCCATGAGGGCGTGCGTAAGAGGACGGAGGAGAGAGCGCACGTGACAGCGAGAAAGGATGTAGGCGAGGACGCGGGGACTGATCTCTCGGGTGGATGGATTGGACGGCAGCGCGAAAGCCGGATGGAGTCGGCCGTCTCTGCGACCCACGCTCCTCCTACCGACGGCGGTGACGTGGACCACCGCTGTGCCTCGAGCTCCTCCCGAGGTCGCCGCCGCACGCGTAGAGATGGAGGCGGGGTGCAGCCTCCTGTGCATCATGCCCGAGCCCCGGCCTCCTCACAGCTCCCGGTTCAGGAACGGATCGAGCCGCCGCCAACCACAAGGTCATGCCCGACCTCGCCAGCGCAGGCCGACGCCGGCCGTTGACCATCTCCCGTAAGCCGCCGCACCTTCCTCTCATCTTTCCTCTCCCTTTCTACCGCCTCTCCTCTCCTTCCTTCTCTGCTAGGGTTCATGAGGAAGGAGGGGGAGGGGGTTGGGAGGCTATGGCGGGGGCTAGGGATGACGAGACGCCGCCGCGCATGAAGAGGAGAGGAGGCGGCGCGGAGGGAGAGAGGAAGGAGAGGAGGAGGCGAAGAGGGAGGGAGAGGAAGGAGAGGAGGCGGCGCGGATATTTTCTCGGGCTTGACTCGGTCCACCCACGATGGATGCTCTGGCAACCCACGATCACCGCTGCCTTTTTCCACCCAGACACAAATACGAACACAGGGCGTGACTGCAAGACGGACCCGCGCTAGAGGCTGGCCCAGCCGTCAGCCGCTCTAGCCCGAGTAGACAGTGTACAGAAAAATGAATGCACGGATGTTTACCACGGCGATGGAAAGTACGCTGGCGTCGGCCAGCGAGGCACATCGAGCGAGCCGGATGAATTTGAACCAGCGATGACGCTAGAAGGCGGGTTGCGTAGCTTGATTTATATGTTCAATTATACTCCCACGTCACAAATCAGAGCATTTTTGACACTAGTGACATAATATAAGAGCATTTTTACACTATATTAATGTAAAATCCACTCTTATATTATGAAACGAAAGGAGTAATGTCATTGTTCTACTTCGTCAATAGCCTCGTTATTCCTCGCATATAACCCTCTTTATTCCATCTCAAGCAAAAAGAAAAAGAAAAAAAGGAGATGATCGAGTAATGAAATATATTACTCGTAAGTAGTATTTCTTTGAACATTTTGCCTGCACAGATTATTAATTTAACACTCAACAACCTTTTGTGCAGCTGCAGAAATATCATTGCCGGCTGTATCTAACGAGCCCCGTTGACTCTGTCACCAAGTATTTGTCAACTCCTCCCCTCCTCTCTCTTGAAACGCAAAGTAGGCGGACCATATGAACTGGCATCTTCCTCTTTCCTGAGAAAGTTGCAGGAAGCTACAGGACCGATTTAGCCATGAAAATAACCAATACTGACAGCATGTCGAGCCTTTTCTGCATAGCTTGTGCAGCTGTTGCCGTCATCCTAGGCAGTAGGGGTGGGCATAAAAACCGACGAACCGAAAACCGAACCGATGCCGAAATCGAATAAACCGAATTTTTGGTTTTTTATTCTATGACTGTAAAATTCGGTTTCCAAGTTTAATAACCGAACAAAATTCGGTCGGTTATGTTTTATTCCGGTTAACCGAACAAAAACCGAACAACATGAGTCAGCGTTAAACACGTAAATGACAACGCGAAAACAAGCATCTGAGAGTCACGCCCACGATCCCTTTTTTTAGATCTCACCCAGAGGCCACGATCGCTTCAGGGACCAACGAACCGCGCGTCCGCGCGTGCCTCGCGTAACGTGGGCCTACCTGACGAAATTGCATGCAAGCATGGAGGCCCAGCTCACGTGGGCTTTTTGTGAAGTGTGTGTCCGGCCGTGCGAGCGTACAGCTTACCAGTACCTTGTTCATTTAGTCCCACATCGCCGGAGCAAGGAGATTTGCCAAATATTTATCCTATATAAGGGAGTGCCGCTGCTACCACTCAAGCGCAAATATTTAAAGCATGAGACTTCGGTATAAAACCGAATAATTGGTTAACCGAATTTTCGGTTATCTATTATTTGGTGTCATTTTTGGTTTTTGGTTTTCCTAACAGAATTGAAAAAAATACCGAACGGTAGAAACCGAATTTTCGGTTTATACCGAACGCCCACCCCTAGGCAGAACCTCAACCTGCAGCTGCTTGCAGTTCACTTATCCCAGCTTCAACACAGGCAACAGGGATGATTTCAGCTTCAGCCCGGGCTCAGCAATCTCAAACAACTCCCTGCAGATCACGCCGAGCAATGGGAACATGAGCCACAAGTCGGGGAGAGTGGTGTACGCCAAGGAGACCCTTAAGCTGTGGAACGCCAAGCGCACGGCGCTCACCTCCTTCCGGACGGAGTTCGTGCTCAACATCATCCCGCAGGGCGGCGGCCTGAATGGGAGCGGCACCGGAGAAGGCATGGCCTTCTTCCTCACCAACAATCCTTCCTTGCCCAGCGACAGCAGCGGGCAGTGGCTCGGCCTGACCAACAACAAGACCGACGGCGCGCCGGCGAACCGGATCGTCGCGGTGGAGTTCGACACGCGGAGGAGCTTCGAGGCCGAGATGGACGGCAACCACGTCGGCCTCGACCTCAACAGCGTCAGGTCCGTCGGGCAGTCCCCTCTTAGCAACCTCTCCTTGGATCTCTCCAGCGGGTCAGACTTGAAGGTCACGCTCGCGTACGACGGCGCGGCGTTGAGCACCGACGTGCTGCAGATGGGGAGGATCTTCTCCAACGACCTGTACATCGACCTGTCGCGGTATCTGCTGGACAACATCTCCGTGGGTTTCGCGGCTTCCACCGGCGAGTTCGCGGAGCTGAACCAGGTCAAGTCTTGGAATTTTACCACGTACGACAACGCGACGGCCGGAGATGACGGGGGTATGTGAGGAGGCGCCAGAAGCTGTTTCTCGCCGTGTTGATCCCACTCACCGTAGGCGTGATGCTCATGGCCTTGTTCGTCTGGTGGAGGCTGACGCGGCAGGCGAGGCTGGCGTACCGCAACCTCGAGAAGATGATCGATGCCCATGGCCCCGTCAGGTTTAAGCTCAGAGAGCTCAGGAACGCGACCAGGGACTTCGGCGATGGCCGTAAGCACGGCCGAGGCGGCTCCGGCACCGTTCTTACGCACCGGGGTCGCGTTATCCTGGCGCTTGGTCCCGAGCGCTGAACCTCGAGATGCGTCTCAGTTAGGGCCGTTTATGCGAAGCCATTACCGTGGCAGTCAGTTGGTGGCAGTCCTGGGTTACGGTACGCATTGCTACAGTACCGCATGCAGGTTCTGGTCGATCGTAGGCTCTGCGTAGTATTGTCTGTTTGTGCCGCTAGTGTATGGACACACGCCCGTGACTCCGAGCATCTCGTCCCCCCATCACCAACACCTTGTTCGTTCTCAGGGCATAGTTCTATGGATGAGCTCCGAGGCGGCGTTCCCATGGAGTGCGAGCACGGCCGCGCCTGCGCCGCTCCGTCGGACGACCACATGTACTAATTGGCTGCACAGAATCTGTATGATTTGGGCAGGGCGCTGCTAGTTATCTTCCGTCGCAACGAACCGCAGGTGCTATAATCAGCTCCCCTGCTCTGCCGCTTTTTCCGGGGTACAGATCCTCGTCGTCGGTGCTGAACTCCTCGTCGGCGGTGCACTTCTGTGTCCGCCTGCCAATCCGCCGGACAATCTGATGTTCTGCCTCCCTTTTCCCTATCCAGCAACTGATGCAGCTACTCAACTCCGTCCCTCTCCATGGTCGAACTCAGATGAATCCGCCGTCCTCGCCGCAGAGCATGCTCATCGGGGGAGCGCTATGCAAAGACTAGATGGATGCTGATTCACGCGTCTGTTCACTGCGTCCCTTGTGAAGATGCCCACATGTATCTGTCCTTATCTGGAGTCTGGACAAGCAGCAGACGCCTGGAACAGTATCCCTACTAGGGCGTAGGCCGGATCACGGTGGGGAACCCCTACAAACCACAGCGATATTAACGTGCCACGTGATCCTAACGAAAATATGTGACACACATCCCCATGTGTATGGACGTACAGGATAGACGGACCGGGGTGCTGAAGCTCCGCTGAATGATTTCGCCGTTTACCTCGGGTATCTGAGGAGGATGGGCATGGAAGTGGCCGTGAAGCGGGTGTCTACGAACGTCAACTCCAACCGCGGCGATAAGGAGTTCGTGGCGGAGGTGAACACTATCAGCAAGCTCTCGCACCGGAACCTCGTGAAGCTGATCGGCTGGTGCCACAAGAAGGGCGAGCTGCTTCTCGTCTACGAGTACTTTCCCATGGGCAGCCTCGACAAGCTCCTTTACGCCAGAGAAAGGACAGCGTCGTCGTCGTCCATGTCGTCATCGACGGACACCCCGGAGCTCACATGGGAGCGGCGGTACAAGATCATCCACGGCGTGGCGTCTGCGCTGGATTACCTTCACCACGGGAGCAGCAAGCGGATCCTGCACAGGGATGTCAAGGCCAGCAACGTGATGCTGGACACCGAGTACAACGCGCGGCTGGGGCATTTTGGCCTCGCCCGTGTCATCCAGCACGACGGCGTCACGCACCACTCCACGCAGGTCGTGGCCGGAACCCGCGGCTACATGGCATACGAGAGCTTCTTCACCGGCCGCGCCAGCCTTGACACGGACGTGTACGCGTTCTGGGTCTTCGTCATGGAGGTTGTCAGCGGCGGATCCCCAGTGTTAGACTGTATATATACGTAGCCTCTATATATCTGTTGTAACATTGTATTGTACCTCTTGGTACTTTTATATAATAAGATAGCCACACTCCGTTTAGGGTGTCGAACAGTTCCCCCAAACATACGTTTTACATGGTATCAATTTAGGGTTACGATGTCTTCCGCTGCACCCGCCGCCTCGGTGCGCCGGCACCCGCCGCCGCCGGCACCGTCGCTGCACCGCCCCCTGCGCCGGCCCCTGCCGTCGCTCCCTCGTCGCCGTTTCTGGCCTCCCAGCCCCTGGCCACGGCCTCGGCCTGGTGGACCACCCAGCCGCCCGCGGGCTCCCAGATCGGATCGGGAGCCGCCCACGGCGACCTGCCTCCGCCGCCGTCCTCTGGCGGCCCGTCGCCCTCGACCACTACGGGTGCCCTACCGGCGCCGCCGTCCTTCCAGGGTCAGCCTCCGGCGTACGGCACCGCCTCTACCCCAACCTATGGCGCTGCCTCCGTTTCGCCGTATGCCGCCCTGCACCCGTACGGTGTTTCGGGTCTGGCCTATGCCCCCCGTGGTGTGGCGCCCCTGCTTCCACTCCGGGTGCTCCGCCACCATCGCCGCCCGCCTGGCCGCAGTCTCCCTACGGCGCGCTGCCGCCGCAGCCCTATGTGGCACCGACGCGTCCTCAACCCTACGCGGCGCCGCCCCCTTCGCTGCCCTACGGGGCCGCGCCTCCTCCGTCACCATGGGACCCGTATGTTGGTGCTATCCCCGGCTATGGCGCACCCTTGGCGATTGCGCCGTCTCACGAGACGGATCCATCTATGGGTCTCTACGCGCCACCGACACAGGATCGTGCTCCACCGCCTTCGTTGTTTTACTTCTCACATCTCCTTCTGGTGAAGCTCATGCCGGACAATTACCTGTCGTGGCGGGCTCCGGTGCTTCCTCTCCTCCGCAGCCGCTACCTGGAGGACTACGTCGACGGCTCCATCCCGTGCCCGCCGCCGTATCATCCGGCTCATCATGTGTGGGTGGCCCAGGATCAGGCAATCCTCTCCGCCATACAGTCGTCGCTGACCCCGAGCGTGTTGTCGCTGGTCATCTTTGCCGCGACGTCTAAGGATGCTTGGTCGGCACTTCACAGCAGCTTCGCCTCTCAGTCTCAGGCGCGTGCTCATTCTATACGCACCGAGTTGGGGGAGACCAAGCTTGATGGCCTCAGCATCACGGACTACTTCAACAAAATGACTGGTCTCGCGGACACGTTAGCCTCGATTGGTCAGCCACTTAGGGATGAATACTTCACCACCCATGTACTCAACGGCCTGGATGATGACTATGATAACCTCATTGAGAATGTGCATGGTCGCGAGGCCCCACTGCCACCCCGCGAGCTCTACGCGTGCCTCCTTGGCCGCGAACAGCGCATCAAGGCGCGCCGAGCCTCTCCAGGGTTTGTCTCCGCCAACGCCGAGACTCGCGGAAGTCGCAGAAGCCGGCGCCGCTTGGTGGGAAAGCGGCGGCCTCGCCTCAGTCCGCTCCGCAGGGTTCGGCGTCCTCCATCACTGGTGGCAGCCGGCCCGTTGCTTGCTGTCCCTGCTGCAGCGCTCAGCAGGCCTGCCAGCTGTGTGGCATTGAGCGTCACATTGCGTCCCGCTGTCATCGTCGCTTCAAGCAAGATTTTCTGGGCCTAGGCAACAATGGCAAAGGGAATGATAAGCAAGCTGCCGCCGCGGTGACGAGCCATGAGCATGGCCGCACTCCATCCTACTCCATTGATCCTACGTGGTATATGGACACCGGAGCTACCAATCACCTCACCGGAGATATGGGCAAGCTCTCTACTCAGGAGCCCACTAGTAGAAAACAGGGCTTTGGTCCAGGCCGGCTCAGCCCATTAGTCCGGGTTCAGTCCAGAACCGGGATCAATGGGGGCATTGGTCCCGGTTCGTGAGCCCAGGGGGCCGGCAGGGCCACGTGGGCCATTGGTCCCGGTTCATCTGGACCTTTTGGTCCCGGTTGGTGGGATGAACCGGGACCAATGGGCCTCGCTCCTGGCCCACCACCATTGGTCCCGGTTGGTGGCTTGAACCGGGACCAAAGGCTCCCCTTTAGTCCTGGTTCATGTCACCAACCGGGACTAATGAGGTGCCTATATATACCCCTCGCTCGCGAGCAGAGCACCCCAGTGCTCTGTTTTTCTCTGGCCGAGGGGGAGAGGGCTTGGTGGTGCTCTAGCTCACCTCCTATGCACACAAGGTGTTCGATGGAATGCCCGAGCCACACTACTTAAGCTTTCTCCTCTCCAAGCTCGACCTCCAAGCTCCATTTTCCATAATATTTGTCTAGGTTTAGCGGTCCGTCACGTCCCGTCCCCGTCTTCACCGCCGTCGATCACCCGCGCCGAGCTCATCGCCGGCACCACCGTGGTGAGCCTCTTGTTCTTATCTTCTTTCTGAAAGGAAAAATATTCTTACTTGTATGTTTACATGTATACTTGTATTATTTTCTTACTTTTATTATTGCATCTTATATAGTGCGATGGTTTTGGTATCCGCCCCCGTCGGTCCTCGTCCTGTCTATGATTCAGATGTGGTATATATATTATCTTTATAACTATTGGTTCATTTATTGTTTATGAAAATTATGCCGACCAACGTGACATAGATTTTATTTATGTAGGATGTATGTGAATCGGAAATGCCAACCGACCCTATTGTCGAGAGGTTAAATTTAGTTGAAGAATAAAACAATTTGTTGAAGGAAAAAAATAAAAAAAAATGAGGAGGAGAAGATGGTATTGGAGTTGCATGTTGCGGATGTCGTCGATGATCACAAGATCAAGATGGATGCAATGCGTTTGAAGATTAGAAATATTAGAAAATATGCCATTCATACCGAGGCTTGGTATCATTATGCCGTTGGATCAATTGTTACCTTGGTTGCGATTATGATCGCTGAGGGAGTCCTGGATTAGGGGGTGTTCGGGTAGCTGGACTATAACTTCAGCCGGACTCCTGGACTATGAAGATACAAGATTGAAGACTTCGTCCCGTATCCAGATGGGACTTTCCTTGGCGTGGAAGGCAAGCTTGGCGATGCGGATATTCAAGATCTCCTACCATTGTAACCGACTCTGTGTAACCCTAACCCTATCCGGTGTCTATATAAACCGGAGGGTTGTAGTCCGTAGGCAATCAACTCCATAC